TGCCTGCTGCTTCCCCTCTGCGAGGGGCTGGGCGGCCTGGACTACGGCCAGGTACCGGCGGGCCGGGCGCGGGCGGGAGGGCCCCGGGGAGGGCCCGGCCTGGGGCAGTGAGGGGAGCCCGGGGATGGATCCCCCGCCCCGCCGGTGCCGCTGCGGGACTCGGTAGATCCGCTGGGAATCGTCCCTCGGTTGTGCCCGCAGGTGCAGCAGGCCTCGGGGTGCTCGGTTCCTCAGGTGCGCCCACCGCCCTCCCCAGCCCGGTTGCACCGCAGCCGGCACGGCACGGTGTGAGCAGGACGAGGGGCTGCGCTGGCACTGCGCGGAATGCCCGGGGGTGCTGCCACCGGCTCAGCCGGGTGCCCCTGCAACTCTTGTTGAAGTGCCCATGCAGCTCTCGTGCAGGTATCCATGTATCTCTCACTCAGGTGCCGATACAGCTCTCACCCAAGTGCCCATGCAGCTCTCATCTCGGTGCCTGTATTGCTGTCCCCAAGTGCCTTGCACGGCTGTCCCCCGTGTGCCCGTTCAGGTCTCGCCCAGGTGGCCCCGGTGTCACCTGGGTGCCTGTACAGCTCTCACCCAGCTGCCCGTGCTGTTCCCACCGTCCCTGACTTCGGGGCTTTGATCAAGCGGGCACCGCTCGCCACGGTCATTGATCCCCCAGCGTGGGGGAGAGGGCAAAGTTGAATGTTCTGTGCCTGTTACGTGGCTGTCCCAGCAGCTCGCAGAGACAGCTCATCCCATTAGGGCTCCCCTTTTATCCCGAAAAGCACACGCCAGGCACAGGCCAATCTGCCTCCCGCTGGCGGCCGCGAATTTGGTTGTTGAGCAGGAGAAAAGAAGGTGAGTGCGATGTTAACGATGGTGCCTGCCAGGAGTTAGTAGGTCAAGAAGCTTTTGTTCAGCCCGTGCTAGCACTGTGCTCAGCACCGTACAAAACGAGAGGAAAGAAGCTGTCCTGGTCCCACGGGATTGCAATTGAAGCGGGATTAGACAGTTCGGCCCCGGTGCCAGCAGCTGCTTGGATTGTGGCTTGGCAGTTTGGAGAGATGAACTCTGGTGGGGAAGGGCTGCTGGGGGTGAAGGGAGGGGAGGAGAGGCTGTGCAGGGTGGGAATAGGGGGAGATGGGTCTGGATCAGGCCATGGGGGCTGTTCCCATTGTTCCCTGCCAGCAGCTGTGTCCGCAAGGCTCGGATGAAGGAGCCTGGAGGACCTGGGGCAGTGGTGGTTTGAGGGCAGCTGTGGACCCCAGTGAGGATCCATCCCCCTTTCCCCAGGGCTGTGTGGTCTTTGCTCCTGCACTTTGCACCTTGGGCAGTCATGGCTGGGCAGGAGGCGCTTGGAGCAACTGGATGTGCCCTGGGCCAGCACAGGAGCTGTTCTCACAGCCTTTTCTCTGGGCTAGGAGAGGTGCTGGGCTTACCAGCCCCTTTCCAGGGATGACACTCTGGCTCTGGGGTTCTTCCCAAGAGCCTGTGAGGAGCCAGTGGGAATTTCCCTCCCTCCCTAACGGGCAGGTGGAGCCAGTACTTTTCTGTGCCTGTCCCCTGGTCATGAAAACACAGCTGTGTTGGGGAAGCAAAAACCTTCCACGTCTCAATGTTGTTGTGTTGGTTTTGTTTCAAGTGAGGGCTGGGCTTGGGATGGGCTATTTTGTTTTTTGTTTTCAGAGGTTTTGACCAAAAAAAAAATACACTGGCTGTTTTTCATCCAAATACCAGCACAGGGAGAGGGAGTGTGGAGGGAGAAGCAGCATGGCTTACTGCACGTAAAGACTCTGACAATGTCAGGGAACTGTATTGAGAAAAATACCTTTTTAAAAAGGAGGGCAGCGAGTTTTAGGGGTTTTTGTTATTGTCATTAAGACAGGAAATACTTCTGCAGCTCCTTACAGTGCAAATGCATTCCCCCTTGCTGTGGAGGGGGTTTGCATCACTCTGACTTTATGAGAGATGAGCTTGAAGCTGCCACAGTTCATTGCTAGGGGATTCCATGCAGACCAGCATCCCTGGGACCTGTGTCCCCAGGCATGCTGTGGAATGGTGCTCCCTCTTTAAAACACTGATGAGCTGGCAGCTGAGGACTGGTGCTCATCCTCAGAGCAGCAGTGTCACCTCTGATCCTGTGTCCTTTTGGACACGCTGTGAGTGTGGGGCTCCCGGAGCGCCCAGTGCCCCTGAGGTTTGGGGGGAGAGCTTGGAGAATCCCCCCTCCTCCTTCTGGGCTTTGCACCTTGACACAGCACTTTGCAAGCTGTAACAGCACGTTGCTTAGGGCTAGTAAAAGGTTCATCTACCCTTGGGGCAGCTGGTGGGTTTGGTTTGAGGTGAGGTGCAGTAACCATCCCTTCCTCCACAGGTGGATGTGGCAGCCATGGTGCAGCTCTTTGGCTACGTGGATGTCACCGACACTGGCTTCATTGTGGCTGTCCTCTCAATCGCCTTCAACCCTTTCTTCTGGAATGTGGTAAGAACTGCCTTTGTGCCAGCTGCTCCTTTACTCTCAGCCTTCCTTTGGGAGGAAAAAACTCTTTTGAGAAGTGTGCTGGGCTGGGTGGGGGGAACCGTGCTCAATTAGATCTTGGGAGTGGGTGAGCTGGGAGCTGTGCTGCAGCTCCTGGGGCTGGGGGTGACTGTGAGGGCTGTCGCAGAGGAGGTCAACGTGGGAGCCAGCTCAGGATACAGAAGGAATTTGGAGCTGAGCTTGGGAGAGGGAGCAGAGCAATCAAGCCCATCCTTCAGCCACATGTCCCACCCAGCAGCCAGGCACTGTTCACTACTGGGACTGAGAATGAATGGCATTAATCCCCATCAGGGTGGCTGCACTGGATATGTTGCCTGCTGCTTCCCCTTGAAATATGTTGGCAGCTGTTCTTGTGGATGGCAGGAAGCAAAAACAGTCAGCCAAAAGTTGGCCTGAAAAAATTCCTCCTCCATCATGCTGCAAGCCTGGCAGAGAGCTGCAGGGTTGGCAGCAAGCCAGCCCTAGGAGGAGCAGGATACCTGTGCATGGGTGATGTTTGCTGTGGCTGTGGGTGCCACAGTGCTTTGGGAGCCAGGGCTGGAGAAACCTCCACTGCCTGTTACTGCTGTGGTTTGCTGCCTCCTTGCAAAACCTGCAGGAGTCATTGCTGGCCCCATTCTGGAGCATTCCAGAGCCAATATGCCAAGCAGGAAGCCCAGGCTGGCTGCAGGGCGAGGTGACTCCCACCCTGCAGCACCCTCAGCAGCACAGCTGAGGTGTGGGGTGAAACATCCCTGAGAGCACTCCTGGGAATGGGATGTCATCTCAGCCACGACTCCCACATCCACCCGCCAAACCTCCCCGCAGGAATTCTCTCCCTGGAGAATTCTCCTTAAAAAGGCCTTATTTTTCCAGAGGGGAAGGACTCCTCTCTCTCTTGAGTGCGGGGGCTCTTGAGATTGTCTCACACTGGGCTTTGGAAAAGGGAGGCTCTGCTTGCTGTGAGTCGCTTTGGAAACCTCTGTCAGAGCTCTTTGTTGCAGCCTCTCAGATTTTTCATGCAACTCGTTATTAAAAAGTCTCACGGTGTCTGAAATGCGAGCTGGAATATGCCACATTATTTCGACTGCAGAGTCATCATTTAGCATAAAGAACCAATGAACAAGAAGATTCAGGATGTGGTCTCTGGGGGGAGAGGCTGGCTCCAGCGAGAAACTGCATGAAAGGCAAAGAAAAAAAGTACTTTATTAGCATCTGCTGCTATGCCTGCAACTCGTGGGACGCCTGCAGCTTGGGAAATAGCGTTGCTTTTTTGTTCAAGAGTTTGGCTGCTGTTAAAGGACAAGGAAAGCCGATGTAAGAGCAGGAAGTTTGTTGCTCTGCGTTGCTGTTGTCCCCTCGCAGGGACTGGAGAGCGGCACCGTTGGCAGCAGGTGGCACTCCAAGCCAGACGAGCAGGAGGTTTGAGTGAGCAGCCTGAGCTGGATGTTGGGGAAAGCTCTGAGCGTGGCATTCCGTGTTTCTCCATCTGGAATGGGCCGGGTGGGTCTTGCAGTCCATGTGCCTCCATCCTTGCTCTGCCCAAGCCCCCCAGCATCTCCCTGGTGTTTGCAGTCCCAGTGTGTGGCTCACACCAGGCAATGCTGGAAGGCTCTTGCAGGGAATCTGTGGGTCCTGCAGCCCTAAACAAGCCTCCACTGTTGGGTACCTTTCAGCAAGAGTGGCCCTGGCTGTCCGTGGATTTTCCCTGACCTCCTTCCTTTACCTCCTCCCCATCCTTCTGTCCATGTGGTCGTTGTCCCCTCCCTGCACCCAGCCAGCAGCTCTTCTTTCTTTCCCTATGTCCCTGCACAGACTCTCTCTCTCCTTGGCTGTTTGAGTTCCTTCCCAGCAGCAAAGATTGCTTCTGCATCTGAATTACTCTGTGTTTCCAATAGCTTTAGTGCAAAGACTGGAATTCTGCACAGTGCCAAGCACTCTTTGCTCTCTCTGCTCAATAACTAACATGGGACACTGGTCAAAATCTCTCCTGTGCATGAAATCCCTGATTTGGATAGAAATTGGGTGGGGATGCATTGATTTAGTTCAGTGTCTTAATTCCCTGTTTCTGCTGAACTCCAGCCAGCTCTGCCTCTTCCAAATTTTGGCGCTGGGTTGTCCTTGCTGTGCAGTGCCTCTGAATAAATATGTGGTGGGGAAACCCAGGCTCCCTGCAGTGCTTGGGTCATGGAGAGGCACCTCCCAAGGCCTTGAACATAGCAAGTGACCTGGTGAGCACCAGGCATGTTTCTCTGGGACAAAACCTGTAGAGTTTGGGGATGAAACATGAACTCTGGAGGCTGTGGAGGAGTGTGGCCTCCGGAGAAAAATGTGGTGCTTGTCAGGTCGGTGGATGCACTTTGGGTAAGAGCAATTCTGAGGACCAGAGCCTAAATGGGGCAATTTGCAGACTCCAGCTGGGCTGTGCTGATGCTCCCTCCTGTTCTCTACAGGGGAGAAAAGCTCTTCCAGAGGGCTTCAGGACTTGTAATTCCCACCTTCCTCCTTGCAGGCATGTGCAGGAGGGTACCAGCAATGTCTCCCCAGGGCCACCGGCTGCATTTCCTCACCAAACCCTGGGCTTGCACCCCCTCTTCTGCTTCCACCCCCTTTGTGCCAGTTGAAATCCTGTCTGTCCCTGGACAGGTTATATTGTCCATGGCACAGCCTGAATGTGTTCCTGCACTGTTCTCTAGTTTTTCTCATGTATTTTCCTCTCTCCTGCTCTGCTGTCTCTGCTTTCCCACCCACTGTGTCTGTTATGAGAGGAGCTGCTGGGAGCTGTGGTCCCACAGGAGGCAGGGTGCAGGTGAGGTCTCAAAAGGAAGCAGCAGAGCTGTTTTGGGAATGAAATCACTTAAAACTCCCCAAGGATATTCAGTGCAGCCAGGAGACCTGAGCCACCGTGGGGCTGTAGAGGGGCACCCAGCAAGGAGCAGGCACATCTCTGGAGCTGTGCCATAAAACGCTAATGAGGCCAGAGCAGCAGGAACTTCAATAAATCCCATCTGTGTTTGGAAAGCCGCAGAGCGATGGGAGAAACTTCTCGTCCCTTGGTAACTAAGGAAGGCATTAAATAAAAAACTCCTCAGGGACAAACATCTTCAAGCCAAGAGAGGCAGATAACCTGCATGCAGGAGGCTCTGAGGAGCTGGCTGAGCCTTGGCAGGCGAGGACTTTCTAGAAAGCTGGAAGGTTTCTGTCACTCCCAGTAGCAACCAGGCATAGCCATGAGGCCGGCAGTCTGACGTCCATCACCACGCAAGTGAGTTTTAAGTGGGGAGTGCATCCATCAGCAATCTTTTCTTGATTTGAGCCTCTTAAAAATTTAGGTCTGGCGTCATGGACCGATTTAGAAATGGCTCATCTTCAGCTGGCGCCCTCACTCCTCCCATCACCTCTGGTCACCCCCGAGAGACACCCGTGTGTCTCACAGGAATCTGCAGGGTGAAACCTCAAATGTCACAGCTAGGAACGGGCTTGGCGTAATTTAGCGTGATTTTAAAGAAAATAGACCCCATCAGACAGTGATTTTATTCTTCAAGGTTGCAGCTTTTCCTGTTCAGGGTAACACGATCTCTGTTCTAGACTTCTGTCAAGCGTTTAAGCTGCATGAGGTTTTGATTAAAGAAGTAGTTGCACAGGGACCTGGGCTGACAACGCCTGGCTCCTGATGGATGTGTATCTCTTGGTTCATTTATTTTTAATTTCCCATCCTTTTCTCCTTCTTTGGAGACTGGAGGAATCTGCCCAGTGGGTAAGAAGTGTTTGCACTGGAAGGGAGGGGGGAGATTGCAGGCACTGGCAGTCTGATTTCACCTACCTCTGACCACTTCTTGCTAAACTTGGAGGAAGGTGCCTGGCCCAAAACATCCCCACACTGCTGGGAAGTAGATAGAAGCTCAGGAGATGCCAGGATTCAAACCTCAGTGAGCCAAAACCTGAGAAACCTTTTGGGCACAGGAGAAAAAAGCCTGATGCTGGGAGATTTCAGCAGCTCTCACTGCCTGTCTTAGAGAAGGAGAGGGTTGAGCTGTGACTTGATGGTGGTGTGTCAGCACCTCGCTGGGGAAAGCAAATTGCAGGGTATAAAATAACTGTGTGAGGGCTGGGATGGCAGCAGAGCCTTTCAGGGAGTGCACCTCAGTCACCTAAAGTTTACAGGATTGGGAGATGAATGAATTGGGGTGATTCAATATTTTTTTTTCTGGCCTTCAAATTCTGTCAACCTGCAAGACTTTTGTGGGCTCCCCCACAAACCTTTGCCTTCCTGCAGCTGCAGGGGAGAGCAGAAAACAGCCCTCAACCAGCTTCTGGAAAGTGCTTTTAGACCCCATCATAGCAGCCATGGCACAGCGGCGATGATTATCTGCTTATAACAGATGCTAGATCAATAGCAGGGCTTCAAGCTACGCTGCAAGGCAATTGACTGCAGAAAGTGTTTCTTTATTGGGGTAAAGCTGGGCTTGCAACGAGGCTCAGATCCGCTCTTACATCTCCGGTCTTAAAATGTCACCACCAGCTCTGATGCCTTTCATCCTTTGTGCAGGGAGAGAACGCGCATTATTCATAATTGGACTCTCTACCAGGCAGCAATAGCCATTTTCATTTCCTACAATAGCTGAGAAAGAGTGAGGATTTGCCTTTTTTTTTTCTTTTTTTTCTTTTTCCTTTTTTTTTCCATCTCCCAAATAGCATTTAGTGGCAATTTTATTCCAAGTGACTTGGTAACGCTTTCACTCCGGCAGCGAGGGCTTCTCAGCGCTGCCGTAACGCGTGGAAGCGGATGGCATCGATTCTCCAGCTCTCGTAACAGAGCCAGTCCTGCCTGGGTGTGTAACACCAGGCCTGTTTGTCTCCTAAATTTAGCTTTTCCAGCGTGTCAGCACCGCTGTGAGCCTCATAACAAGCACCAGAACTGGGTCGCACCCTCCGGCGTGCCGGCTGGACTGGCACAATTAGGA